AGACTGTCTGTACGTGCCTTGGAGCTCATACATACACATTGAATAGTGTGTGCCATGAAGCGCATGACCGAAATGAATTCTAACCAAGAGTGTTTTTGTATCTCAATTGATCCTGCGAGACCGCGAAACGATCCCGCGAAACGCAAGGCTGCCTGGCACACGATTCGATCCCTTGCAGACATCTCAAAAACGAGCACGAGCATAGGTTGCTATTCGTCATTCCGTCGCACCAAGACCCACTTTGGAGGGGGGGGGGGGCAAAGGTCGTATTGACGCTGCTATTCTCCGCCGAGCAGTGGTAAGCCCTGACATGGCTCGCCTTTGAAACTGTCGTGCATGGAAAGGCGCACCCTGCATGCATGTCTACAACTGTTTTCAAACTTGCCGAGACTGCAGCTAGATGACTGAATATTTAATCCTTGACAACTGGCTGCACCCGTGATAAGTACTCGAATGATGTATACAGTGCGATTCATCATACCTTGCTTGGTGCTCTCGTCCTTGATTTTCTTGGTAGTACGTGTCTGAGCGGTCCCATAAAACACTTTCTGCTGATTCTGGATTCTCGACGACCACCGTCTTTCAGCTGGAGAAGCACTAGCACATTCCGGTTCTCTTACAACCAAGAAAACTTGCTGCTTTGCAGGCTGATCGTGTGTTTCGTTTGTCTGAATGTTTCGAAAAATCGGAATCGTCATTACCATCACTCTTTATAAGGTTGGACCAAAAATCCAGCGACACTTTGGACGAATTTCCAGACTGGATATCCTGTATAGAACGATGACTTCAATCCGCAGAGTAATTGTCATAAATAGTAGAGCTTGTGTCCCTTCGTTGGGCAGCTCCCAGTCCTGCTTTTACAGCAGTGCGGCGACAGAGAGAAGTCGATCTTGACCCTGAGTTCACACTCCTTATCGCATTTTTCCATTGCTGAATGTTGCCTAAGCAGGAGATACTGAGAAAGCCTGTCTGCTGTGTGAGAACTGTCCGGGGGCTGGATGCTTCCCATAGAGATCCACTATCATTTGGCCTTGCATAGTCGTTACGTGCGAGTTCGGTAGAAGTGCAAAGGGAGAAGTTGGAGTTTTCCTGAATGAGTTCGATAGTGCCTCGTTTATCTTTCCAATTTTGTCAAAGCAGACTATAGCAGTCATTGCTGTACAGTATAGCCCGTCCAAATCCCACCAATGACACTGAAAATTGTGCAGGTGCCCCAGTGTCTCTCGAGGTTTACAGGCGGTTGACTTTAGATTGATGGCCCAACGTTTCGACGTGATCCTCTTTTACAGAGGTCAGGATTCCACCGTAAATCCTCTGTCGCATGCGGATGCTACTCAGTACCGAATGTGGAAATTCCTTTCTATGCTGATCTTTCAGTTGTGAGCGAGTTTTTCTCTATGGAGCTTAGATGCATGGTTTACTTTAGAC